CCCTGCTCCCTACCTGGGGTCCCCGTTGGCCTCTGGAAGATGCTGGACCCTGGGGGTGCTGCCAGGAGCCAGAGGCAGCCGAGCAGGAGCAGCCTGTGCATCCTCAGAGCCGGGGGCAGGAGGGACCCTGGGGGGAAGAACAGGGGACAGGGACATGCAGTGGGGCACCCCCCAGCTTTGGGGGGGCCTGGAGGGTCTCACCCTGCTCTGGGGGGGCTCTCTGTGACATTTGCTGTGCAGAGAGGACATGGCTTGCAGGACCCCACTGCCCGTGCCAACTGTCCTTGCTGGCACTGCCCCGCTCTCTTACCGTGCCCAGCCAGGTCCTTGGGGGATCCGCTGTGCCCATCCAATGCCCCGTGCCCACGAGCAGCTCCTGCTGCTGCCCTCCTCTGTCACCAACACCCCATGGTGGGGCTGGGGGTCCCACGAAGACAGAGGTGACACGGGGACACACGGAAGGTGGCGAGCAGGTGCTCCCAGCCAGCCCTGCCCTGTCACCGCACTGGGGCGGGCAGTGCCCTGGCACCCCCCTGGCCCTTGATGCCCGCTCCCATGGTGCCCTGCCCTGTCACCGTCTCTTCCTGCTTTCTTCTCTTTTATTTTGTCCCCTCTCCAACACCTCCCCGAGGAGCGCACAGGGAGGAGGAAGCACAATTTCCCATTGTGAGTGTCTTTCTCTTTATTGTTCTGCTCGGCAAAACACAGTGTGCCCGGGTAACAAACATCCCTTTATCTGCAGGGCACAGCTTTGGGAATTCAGGGAAAACGACTCGGAATTCAGGGTGGACGACTTCAGTTCTGCATCGGCCTCCAGCAGCCTCTTGGGCTGGCAAAACCCCCCCTTGTGCTGGGATGGAGCTCTCTGAGCCCACAGACAGCAGGGCAAGGGTTAATTTTATTCCCCTCTCTCTGCTCCTGATGGAGGGATGATGTTCCCTTTGGGAATTCAGGAAAAACCTCTTGGGCTGGCAAAGCCCCCCTGTGCTGGAATGGGCTCTGTGAGCCCACAGACAGCAGGGCAATGGTTAATTTAATTAATTAAATTTAATTTCCCCTCTCCTCATCCCTGATGGAGGGATGGTGTTCCCACCCCTTGAGGCTCTGGAGGGTTGTGCAAGGGGGCTGCCCCACCACTCGAGTGCCTCTGGATTTATCCTGCCCTCCAAAAAGGCATCAGAGAGGCTTCCCCAGCATCCCCTCGGGCCAGGAGCAGAGCACAGGCACACAATGGTGCTGTGTTCTGGGCTGCCACAACTCCTTCCTTCCCCAGGGTCCATCTCCAAGGATGGAGGAAGCTTTTCTTGAAGGAAGCACAGGACAAGCAGTGACTGTCCCCAACACCAGCCTGGCCTGGCCATGGCACACACAGCACAGCAAACAGCCCCACAGGGGAGAAAGGCATCGGGGTGCCCTCATCCCCCCACCTGCTCCCCAGTCCCCCCAGCCTCTTTTCAAGGAGGGACATCAGTTTTGGTGGCAGCAGGTTGAACTGGAAGCTTCTTTGTAGGAGCATCAGGGAGTAGGATGGTAAGGATGGACGGAGATGAGAGATCTCTGAAGCCAGGTCCTGGAATTTGGGGTTTATTGCAAAGGGCCTGGGTGCAGGGCCCTGCTGGGATTTGGGGTTTATTGCAAAGGGCCTGGGTGCAGGGCCCTGCTGGGATTTGAGGTTTATTGCAAAGGATCTGGGTGCAGGGGCCTTTTGGGATTTGGGGTTTATTGCAAAGGGCCTGGGTGCAGGGGCCTTTTGGGATTTGGGGTTTATTGCAAAGGGCCTGGGTGCAGGGCCCTGCTGGGAGCTGCAGCCACAGCTGGAGCAGGCCCGAGAGAAGAGAGGGGGAGAGAGGGTGAGAGGGTAAGACAGTAAAAAGGGTAAGAGAGTAAAAGGGGTAAGAGGGTGAGGTTCCCGTTACAATACAATAAATCTTCTTCTGTGTTGAATATTCTAATTCTCACTAACCAATCTAGTACAATATACAAATCCTATAGCATTTCCATACAGCCTATAAGAATCATTACATTACCACACTGTGTTACATTTTAAACCCTAAAACCTCCTCTTTGGACCCCTTCTGCCAAGCTGTAGGGTCTGCTCTGAGCCTTGGGCCTGTCTGCAAGCAAAGGGTGTTGTTCCATCACAAGGGGATTACCTTCAGCAGCCACACCATTGTTTTCCAGTTGTTCAGTAACTGAGGGATCTCAAAGCTTCCTTTCATTTCAATCTCACTTATAGTTTCTATATTCACAAAATCTTTTGCCAGACAATCATATTTTACGGCTTTCCTGTTCCATCTTCCCCAACGCTTCTTCCAGCTCAGAATGCTCAGAACTTTGTGATCATCGCTGTGATGAGCAAAAGGAGCCTGTAGCTTTGCTCTCCCGGGCTGAGGGAGGCTAAACTGGAGCAGCAGCACTGCGAACTCCTCCCTGCAGCTCCTCATGGTCATGGGCTGGGTCCGAGGCTCTTCATGGAGTCTGTCATCTCCCTCCCTCACACTTCCTGTGCCCACGGCTGCAGAAGCACGTCCTGTTCTCCCCTGTGAAAAATGCATGTATTTTATGATTGGCTTTTTGCAAATATTCAAATGAATATGGTATGTGTTGTGTTAGAAAGTGATGCTGTATTAATTCTCTTAAGTAGTTTTAGGTTATAACAAAATGTTAAAATAGAAACTGTGCTATGTAGGATACTTTTTTTAAAGAAAGGACTTGCAGTGAGATAGCAGCCACAGGACACCTCAATCTTTCAGAGAAAGAGAATTTATTGCTCTCTTATCACAGGAAATGAACTTCTTCCCACCTCAAAGGCGCTGTCAGAATTCAGAGGAAGAAGTTGACGATGACCAGACAGAATCCTGTATTTGAATGGAATTTATGCATCATGTATGAAGTGTATGAATATGCAACAGGCTGTTGCTTTTAAGGGTTAATCCTTTGTTAACATGGGTCCTTTTTTGGGCTGGTGCTGCCCAGAAAAAGGTACCCAGATGTCAATAACTCTTTGTATTTATTCTCTCACATTGTCCTAATTCAAATTATCCAAATTATTATTACTCTAATTGTATTACTATTTTCATAACCATTTTATTACTATTAAACTTTTCAAATTTTAAAAACAAGTGATTGGCGTTTTTCACATCCCCCAGCAGCAGCTCTGGATTTCTTGGCTGCAGGATGCTGATTCCCAGCTCTGTGCTATCACAGACGAGCTGTTTCTCACATTTTTCCCAAGTGAAGGCACCAGCTACAGTCCCCAGCCCTCAGCAAACCACAGCCCGAGGCAGAACACTTGCAAGGGCTCCCATGTGTGACTCATCCCCCTTTCCCACCCTGTTAGCACCAGGGTTTGACCCCAGCCCACCACTGCTTATCTGAGTTCAGAGTTTGGCCCAGCGCTGTGGGAAGGAGTCACCCAAGTGACTTCCCAAGTCATTTCTCTGCTCCTTGTCTCTTTTTCTCCCTTTTTGGGATCTGCACCCACTCTACAACACCTCTGCAGCAGCAGAGGCAGCCAGAGAAAAGCCAAGGAGCCCCTGGTGCTCAGATTCACCAGCATCTGGCTGGCTCCATCACGAGCCTCTGACTCTGCTCCTTGTTCTTAAAAACTCAGATTTTCCTTCTCTCCTCTCGACCCCACAGGAAACCTCACCCCCAAAGCCTCCTGAACACTCATTTTTCCTTCTGACCAGGGAATTGGAGCCAAGCTTTGCTGAGCCAGCACCTCCACAGCAGGTCAGGCCCTTGTGCATCACCCTCCACCTCCACTGCCTAACCCAGTCCCCAAAACCCACCGTGCTTCCACAACGCAGAGGCAGAAATCTCATACATTCCCCCAACATCTCCTGCCTGTGGGAACCCAGGAAATTCCTCTGGCTGCCCTGGATGGCTCAAAGCCCTGTCAGGGGGCTCAGAGACCCTGGCACAGAGCCCAAAACCCCTTGGAAAAAACAATTACCAACCTTGTATGAAGAATTACAACCCACGACAGTTAAAGTAGAATGATAGTGAATTTATCACAGAGTGGAAAATAGATTTTTTGGGGTTTTTAGAATGGGGGCTCAGGGGGCAAGATGGAGGGATCTGGGCGTGCCCAGCCTTTCTCCTTCTTCTTCTTCTTGGCCTTCATCTTCTGCTGTGATGTTGACAATTTTAGATTGGTTTAGAGTAGAAGTTCACTGTCTAACATAGGTGATAGGTATTGGGAAATTATTGTAAATAACGTACATGTAGTTTTTAGTATAAAAAGCTAACACCATCCCAAGGGCTGGAAGCAATTACCAGCTTTGTGTGAGGAGTTACAAGCCACAGGAGTTTGAGTAGAATGATAGTGAAATTATCACAGGGTGAAAAATAGATTTGGGGTTCAGGAAGCAAGATGGAGGGATCTGGGTATGCCCAGCCTTTCTCCTTCTTCTTCATCTTCTGCTGTGATGGTGGCACATTTAGATTGGTTTAGAGTAGAAGCTCACTGTCTAACATAGGTGATAGGTATTGGAAAGTAATTGTAAATATTTTTTGGTAAATATTGTAAAGTAACTGTAAATATTTTCTAACATAGGTGATGGGTATTGGAAAGTAATTGTAAATTTTTTTAAAAGAATTTTATAGATAAGATACAATAAACAACCTTGAGACTGAGAAATGAAGAGCCCCGACTCCTTCTTCGACCATTGGGCTGGGAAAAGAGATTTTTTTAACATTTCTCAGGGCTCACAGTGACCAGCTAGAGACCCCGAGACTGCCCAGAGAGAGGAACACCGATGCCACACACTTCCCAGCACAGTGCCTGCAGCCACCTGGTGTGGCATCACCACCTGCGCAGGTGTGCCAGGGCATCCCAGCCCGAATTTCCGTGTTGGCAGCGCTGCCCTGCTCCCGGCACTCCCTTCGAGGTGAGGAGCAGCTGGCAGCCGCCCCAGCAGGAGGAGTTTCAGCCCTAAACTGGCTCTCCCTCCCCATGCACCCCCTTCTTTGCAGGGTTTCACCTGCCCCCCGACATGCCTGAGCACGCAGCCGCCTCCAGGCTGTGGTTCTCGGGGCTGTGCTTCCTCCTGCAGATCCTCCTCATCCTCCTGTTCGCGGTGTTGGTGCGCTACAGCCCCGAGGGCAGCCCCGGGCCGTGCCCCCCTCAGCTGAACTGCAGCCAGAGGAGCCAGGACCCGAATTTCCTGCAGCCCTGTGAGTAGAACCCTCCTGATGTGGGGATGGCACTGGGTGTCACCTGCAGGGCTGGCACTGGCTCCAGAGATACCAGAGAGGCACCATCGAGCTGCAGGTGTGGGGTGCTGGTGATTCCCAGAGGGGTAGAGCAGACACGCTGCAAGGATTTCTGAAATATCTGAGAGGGAAATTTGGGGCCGGGGTGTGTGTTAGAGCAGTGGAGCTCGGAAGGGATCACTGAGTGCAGTGGGAAACTGGGGATCATCATTCCATGCCTGATAAGGGTGCACAGCAGCTGCTCCTGGCACTTCAGAGCTTCCCAGCCAGGTTTGCTGGGTTCTTACTGAGCCCCTTCACAGAGGACTGCAGGCTTGGGGTGCTGGGGCCTCCCAGAGGGGTAGAGCAGACACGCTGCAAGGATTTCTGAAATACTTGCAGCAAAAGAGGGAAATTTGGGGCTGGGGTGTGTGTTGGAGCAGTGGAGCTCAGAAGGGGTCACTGAGTGCAGTGAAAAACTGCATTTTCTCATTCTATGAAAAAATGGGATCATCATTCCATGTCTGGCAGGGAGCACAGCCAGGGCGGCTGCCAGGTTCTACTCACCTGCTTCTGGGACTTCAGGGTGTGCAGAGCTTCCCACCTGGCTTTGCAGTGCCAGGGGATTCACACTGAGCCCCTTCCATGGAGGATTTGAGCTCAAAAGGGGTCTCTGAGTGCAGAGAAAATCTAGAGATCATCATCCCAAGCCAGACAGGGAGCACAGCAGCTGCTCCTGGCACTTCAGGGTGTGCAGAGCTTCCCAGCTGGGGTTTGCATCCAGCAGGTTCTCCCGGTTCCTCCTGCCCACGTAACCCCACCCTGCAGTGACTCACGGAGCAGCCCATCCCACAGCTGTCAGCTGTGCAAAGGGCATCCAGCCCGAGCAGGAATCAGGCCCCCCATCCTCTGGTTTGCCACCGAATGGTGCCAGACTGACCCCAATTCTCTGCTCATCCTGTGAATTGGGACATGATGCCTTCAGGGGTGCTCATCTCAGAGCCACTTTGATGCTGCTCTGGTGGGTGCAGCCAGCTCTGAGGTTTCTGTGCTGTGGGGAGAATGTGATGAGATATCTGCATGGGGCAGATGAGGATGGGGTGGCCTGGAGAGGCTGCAGAGGGTCAGGGGTGGCTGTAGCTGTCCCTGGCACTCCCCACTGCAGATCTCCAAGAAAGATCTTCTGTGGGAACCCAGGACATCCCTCTGGCTGTCCAAGACCCCTGCCAGGGGGCTCAGAAGCCCAAAACACCTGTGTGGTTTTGATTATGACCCATGGAGCAAATTACCAACCTTATATGAAGATCAGCAAGCCACAACAGTTTAAGTAGAATAATAGTGAAGCTATCACAGGGTGGAAAATAGATTTTTGGGGTTTTTAATATGGGGGTTCAGGGAGCAAGATGGAGGGATCTGGGCATGTCCAGTCTTTCTCCTTCTTATTCTTCTTGGCCTCCATCTTCTGCACTTTTAGAGTGGTTTAAGGTAGAAGCTCACTGCCTAACACAGGTGATAGGTATTGGGAAGTAATTGTAAACATTGTACACGTAGTTTTTAGTATAAAAAGACAACACTGCCCCAGGGGCAGGCAGTGTGCCTGGAACTGTCCTGCTGGACGGACCTCGGCAGGGCAGGAGAAAATTTTTTATAGATAAGACACAATAAACAACCTTGAGTCCGAGAACTGAAGAGCCCTGACTCCTTCTTCAAGTGCTGGGCTGGGAATAGAAACTTTCCAACTTTTCTTGGCGTCACTCTGACCAGCTAAAGATCCTGACAATCTTCCACCGTGGCTCCAGACTCACATAAAGAGGAGTGAGCCTTCATCTCCCAAACCCAGGGTGTCTCAGCCCTGGCTGAGTCCCCTCAGGGACCATCAGGAGGGTGTTTGCCCTCCCTCAGCACCCCCAGACCCATCCCTGTGCCTCTCCCCCCACAGGGTTTCAGGATGTCCACGTCCAGCTGCTCCTCAGCTTTGGGCTGCTGGTGGCCTTCCTCAGCCGCTATGGGCCGGGCAGTGCTGCCATCATCATCCTCATCACAGCCTTCTCCATCCAGTGGGCTGTGCTCATGCAGGGCATGCTTTTCTTCTTCCTCAGCGGCAAGATTTCCGTGGGAGCTCGGAGGTAAGGCTGGAGGGAGCTGCTGAGCCCAGCCCAGCCCTGGCACGCTGGCTCCCTCCTCTGTAAAACTCGGGGCTCTGCTTTGCAGGAGCATTTTGCACACAAGTGGGATGGGGTTGTTTGAGTACCACTGTAAGAGTCTAAATGAGAGATGTGGGACTCCAGGTGGCTCTTCAAAATGCAGTTTATTGTATCCAAGAGTTACAGCAGTCCAGGATTGTGGGTGAGAGAGCTGTGCCTACAGCTATCAGCTCCAGCTGCAGGCAGGCCTGGAGACCCTTTGGTTTTGGTTACAGTGCATTATAAACTTTTCTTTTGGTTATAATGCATTGTAAACTTTTCTTTTGGTTACATTGCATGATATACTTTTCTTTTGCTTACATTACATTATAAAATTTTCTTTTGGTTACAATGCATTATATACTTTTCTTTTGGTTACATTGCATGATATACTTTTCTTTTGCTTACATTACATTATAAAATTTTCTTTTTATTACAATGCACTACATACTTTCCTTTTGGTTACATTGCATTATGTACTTTTCTTCTGGTTACAATGCATTATAAACTTTCCTTTTGGTTACAATGCATTATATACTTTTCTTTTGGTTACATTACATTATAAACTTTTCTTTGCTGAGCATCTTAATACACTAGAACCAATATATACCTTAATTTTACCTATAGCCTATCATAACCCCTATAATTGCCATATTCATGTTACTGTTCTCCAATCACTAAAAGTCAGTACATTACAGTTTAAGCTACAAGTTGTTTATCAGTTTTCTTGCCGGGGAAAATTCTGAGACCTTTTTTCTGCTTGCAAACTTTGCTGCCTTGTTTGGCCGTGCTGTCTTTCTGCTTAGTAAAAACATCTTGTTTGGGGTGGGTTTATCCTTTGCTCTAAGCCATAAAAACCCCTCATAACTAACATGAAATACCATTTGCCTCCTTGGTTATCCAGTAAAATTGGCTCAGCAATTCTTTTCTTCTGTATCAAAACTTGCTTCCATCTTTATTCCTTCATCAGACTCTACATTTAAAGCTAAGCACTCATATCTGTGAGACTTTCTTGTCAAACTTTCATCCTTCCCAACACAAAACAGTGCTGGGGCCATTTCTGGCTGCTGAGGCTTGGCCGGGTTTGGGGTGTTTGTGTCCAAACCCAGATATTTTCACCTCTGAGCACTTCCCCACCCCACTGGAGCAGCCTGGAACACCCAACTCACCCCAGGGTGCAGGACATGATGGTTCCCCCCTGTCTCTGTCAGGGTTTGGGAAGAACTGAGCAGCTCCAAGCATGGGGAAGGTGATTCCTGAAGGGTTTTGTGCTCATTCTCTAATGGGCAACTGAAGTTACCCAGGTGACCAAAGAGCCACCTCCTGGTGTCCCCACTGTGACCTGAGAACCCAGCAGTGCTCAGGGGCTTGGGGTGAAAGGGATGGGGCCATTTCTTGCTTGTCTGGATACTTTGAGCACCTGGAGAGTGCAGAGGAGGCTCCTTTTCTGCCCCAGCAAAGGTGAGGCGTGTCCTCTGAAAGAGCCCAACCAAACCTGGGCATGGAGAAGGTACAAGCTGTAAATAAATCACCTCCAGAAAGCAAGGGTAAATCCAGCACTCTTTCAGTTCTTTTTGATTGAGAATTTCTTGTCAAACTTCCATCCTTCCCAACATCCCACCCTGGCAAGGGCTGTGTGAGCCCTGCCAAGGGGTTTAGGGGCACACTCTGGTCCCCACCTGCCTCAAGCCCAGCCATCCCTGTGCCACCAGCACCTCTTCAGCTCCTGATCCCTGCCAGCTCTCCCCAGTCCCTGTGCTCACCCCTGGCAGTGCCAGCTCCAGCCTCACACTCTTCCTCTCCTTCCCAGCATGGTCAGTGCTGATTTCTGCACCGCAGCTGTTCTGATCTCCACTGGAGCCGTTCTGGGCAGGGTGAGCCCTGTGCAGATGCTGCTGCTGGCCCTGCTGGAAGTGACCCTGTGCACCCTCCATGAATTCGTCCTGCTCAGGCTTATGGGGGTGAGTCACCCACTGGGAGAGGGACTGGCCCTGGGTTTGGGCTCCTCATGGCAAGTTCTGCCTGGTCTGGAGAGGCAAATCCCTCACCCTGCTGCAGTATTTGCACTACTTGTGGGGGTCTCTGTTGTTGGTTTCCTGGGCCTGGATTGAAGGCACTTGAGACAGTAATTCATATTTGGACTCAGGTGTTTATTATTTCTTATCAGTAAAACAGCCTCACTGCTGTGAGTTCAGCAGCTTTTCATTAGAAGGCACAAAATGGCTAACAGTCTTTTGTTACAAGGTCTTTTAAGACTAAACTATCCAATTAAGAAATAACACTTAGAATATTTCCCCTTTTAATGAAGTAACTGATCCCAAAGAACCTGCAATGAGGACTTTTCTGCCCAATTACAAAATGCTGGAAGTCCCCCCGTGCACCTTCAATGAATTCATCCTGCTCAGTCTCACAGGGGTGAGTCACCCACTGCGACAGGGAGTGGCTCCTTATGGCAAATTCTGCCTCATCTGGAGATGAAAATCCCTCACCCTGCTGTAGTATTTGCACTGGTTGTTGTTGGTTTCCTGGGCCTGGATTGAAGGCACTTGAGACAGTAATTCATATTTGGGCTCAGGTGTTTATTATTTCTTATCAGTAAAACAGCCTCACTGCTGTGAGTTCAGCAGCTTTTCATTAGAAGGCACAAAATGGCCAATAATCTTTTGTTACAAGGTCTTTTAAGACTAAACTATCCAATTAAGAAATAACACTTAGATTCTTTCCCCTTTTAACCCAATAACTGATCCCAATGGGGACTTATCTGCCCAATTACAAAATGCCACCCAAACCCATGAAGAAGAAACCCAGGATGACACTCTGTGCATACTAAAAACCCCAAAAATCTCAATTTCTCACCAAGTGATAAACCTACACTACTCTCTGTAATTTATTTCACACTTTTGTGGGTTCCAGTCTATCTTGAAGTTTAGGAAACTTTCTCCATGAATGAGGGTCAAAGTCAGTGCTCCCTGGGGGTCAGGGCAGACAGAGGAACATTCCTGGTGCCCTGGGTTTCCACATCACCCCAATTCCTGCACTTTCCATGTTTTCCACATTCCCCAGGTGAGCGACAGTGGAGGCTCCTTGACCGTGCACACCTTTGGTGCTTATTTTGGCCTGATGGTTTCACGGGTCCTGTACCAGCCCCACAAGGACAAGAGGAAGAGGGAAGAGCAGCAGGATAAGGGGCACCACAAGGATGTCTTTGCTGTGGTTGGTATGGAGCTCGAATCTGCAGCACCTACAGCTGCTTGGTGGAAGGGTTGTCACCAATCTGAGGGTGTGGCTTTGAGCAGGAGATTGCTGCAAACATCACGGACAGATGTCCTGCACCTCCCCAGGGACCTGTGTGGGCTGCACCACCCTCTTCTAGAAAAACCTTTTCCTTGTCTTCTGTCTGAACCTCCCTTGTGGCCTCGTGCATCTCTTGGCCCTCACAGGAACTTTCTGTCCCACAAGGGATCAACTCCAGCACCAAGATTGTTCTATTCCCTGCAGGAACCATCTACCTGTGGATCTTCTGGCCCAGCTTCACCTCCACCACCACTGTCCACCACGATGGAGAGAACTGGGCAGTGCTCAACTCCTACTTCTCACTGGTGGCAAGCACCGTGTCCACCTTCATCCTCTCTCCTGTGCTCTATGAGGAGAGCACCCCAAGGATGGTAGGTCAGTCCTCTCCTGGGACAAACCCACACCCTGCCCTGTAGGAACAGGCCTGAACACACCCAGGGCAAAAGGGGAGGCCTGTTAGGCTCATTAAGGTTCATTAAGAACAAATTTGTGACCATGTTCACAGGGGTCCGAGGAAGAGGGAGGAGATGAGGATCTGACTGCATGTTTCAGAAGGCTTGATTTGTTATTTTATTATATATATTATTGTGGCAGACATCTTTTATGGAAAATCCTTTCCTTAGGATTTTTCCTCCTGAGAAGCTGAGAGGCCTCAGGAACAAAATGTGAACAATGATTATCTGCTGCTGTGGAATGCATCTGGGATTGGTCTCATGTGGTTGTTTCTAATTAATGGCCAATCACAGTCAGCTGGCTTTGACTGAGAGCCCGAACCACAAACCTTTGTTATCATTCTTTGCTATGCTATTCTTAGCCAGGCTTCTGAGGAAATCCTTTATTCTATTCTTGTAGTATAGTTTTAATGTAATATATATAATAAAATAATAAATCAAGCCTTCTGAAACATGGAGTCAGATCCTCGTCTCTTCCCTCATCCAAAAACCCCTGTGAACATGGTCACATATTATATTAAAATGATACTAAAAGAATAGAAAAAAGGATTTCCTCAGAAGGCTGGCTAAGAATAGAAAAAGAAGAAATGATAACAAAAGCTTGTGGCTCAGACAGAGTCCAAGCCAGCTGTGGTTGGCCATTAATTAGAAACAACCACATGAGACCAATCCCAGATGCACCTGTTGCATTCCACAGCAGCAGATAACCATTGTTTACATTTTGTTCCTGAGGTCTCTCAGCTTCTCAGGAGGAAAAATCCTAAGGAAAGGATTTTTCAGAAAATATCATGGCGACACCAATTTGAGGAAGACAAACCCCTCTCCCAGCCCCATGCTGGTGCTCTCCATGGAGTCCATTCCCCTGACCGTGTCTTGTTCCATCAGGTTCAGCTCCAAGATGCCACCCTGGCTGCCGTGGCCGTGATGGGCATGGCTGGGGAGATGCTGCTCACCCCCTTTGGTGCCCTCATCGCAGGGTTTCTGGTTGGCCTCATCATCCACCTTGGCTTCAGATTCTTCACAGTGAGTCCTCAAAGATGCTGATCCCAGCCCAGGGATTTGCTCCCAAACCCGCAAACGCCTGGGCAGCTGATCCCAGCCCACCACCAGCTCTTCCCTGTGCTCTCCCCAGCCTGTTCTTCACTCCAAGCTGAAAATCCAGGACACCTGTGGGGTGCACAACACCCACGGCCTGCCCGGGGTGCTGGGGGCCCTGCTGGGGACGCTGCTGGCGCTGCTGGCCACCGCTGACACTTTTGGTTACAGGTGAGAGGAGCCAGAATCGGGGATGCCAGTGCCTTATGCACCAAGCTGGGGTCACCACAACCCCTGAGATCAGAGCTGCACCACTCCCCTGGTACAGCAGCCCTTTAGGAGGCAAAACCCAGAGATATGAGCCAAACAAAGCTCCCAAAACAAGCAAACTCCCCAAACAAAGCAGCTCCGCAAAGCCTGTCCTCTGTCTGACATGCAGGCTGGAGCTGGTGTTCCCACTGGTGGCCCAGGGCAGCCGGACAGTCACTGACCAGGCATTCATGCAGCTCAGTGCCCTGCCCCTCACCCTGCTGCTTGCCACGCTCGGGGGCTGGATCACGGGTGAGTTCTGCCTCCAGCACGGAGGGATGGAGGGGCAGGGAATGGATGGGTTTGGGGGAAAGCGCGGGAGCAGCCCCAAAGCAAAGCATCCCCTCAGGCAGGCCGGGCAGAGCCCAGCGGGGCTCAGCCCTGGGCAAACCCAGCCGAGATCGGGGCCAGGGCTCCCCTTGGGGCTGCGTTTCCCTTGAAGGGCCGGGGCCATGCATGGGGCTTTACTCCCCTCTGGCCGGGGGTCCCCCCAGTCCGTGCTCTCCCCGGTCTGTGCTCCCTGCTGTGCCCGGAGCTCCCCTCGGGATTGAGGCTTTGCCCAGGTCCGCTCTTCTCCCGGGGTCCGGGCTCCCCGCGGGGGTCTGGGCTCCCCCCGGTTCCGGATCCCGGTTCCCCCTGGCACCCCTGTGCCAGGGTGCCGGTTCCCCCTGGTCCCGGTTCCCCCCGGTCCCAGCACCTCCTGGCCCCTGTTTCCCCGGCACCCCCCAGTCCCGGTTTCCCCCGGTCCCCGTTCATCCCCGGTCCCGTCTCCCTCCGGCTTCCCCCCGGTCCCGGCTGCCCCCGGCTCCCCCCAGTCCTGGTTCCCCCCGCTCCCCGCTTCTCCCCGCTCCCCCCGGTCCCGGCACCCCCCGATCCCGGTTTCCCTCAGTTCCAGCTCCCGTCTCCTCCCCGGTCCCCGTTCCCCCCGGTCCCAGTTCCCACCGCTCCTCCCGGTCCCAGCACACCCTGATTCCCGGCTCCCCCCGGTCCCGGCTCCCCTCCGGTTCCCCCCGCTCCTCCCGGTGCCGGTTCCCCCCGTCCCGACTCCTCCCGGTTCCCCTCGGTCCCGGCTCCCCCCGGTTGTCCCGGCTCCCCCCGGGCCCGGCTCTCTCCGGCTCCTCCCTGTTCCCCCCGGCTCCCCCCGGTCCCGGCTCCCAGTTCCTTCCGGTTCCCCCTGCTCCTCCCGGTCCCGGCTGCCCCCGATCCCCGTTCCCCCCAGTCCCGGCTCCCGTCTCCCCCCGGTTCCCCCCGCTCCCCCGGTCTCGGTCCCCGCCGCCGCCGCTAGATGTCAGGGGAAGCCCGAGCAGCGGCCGCCCCGCTCTCAGCCGCCCTCGCCCGGCTTTGGGTGTCCTCAGGAACCATCCTGAAAATCAAGGTGCCGAGGTGCTGCGCGGACACCCAGTACAAGGAGAGCCCCGGCTTGCAGGAGGTAAAGCTGGGAATTGGTGGTAAAAAGGGATTTTTGGGTCTCAGGCAGCGGCAGGGGTTGGGTATTTTCCTCCAGCTCCCTCCTCTTGCAGCAGCATTTAGGAGAGGTGCAGTAAATGCCCCTGGTCAGAGAATCCCTGACTCGTTTTAGATTGGAAAAGCCCTCCAAAAGCACCAGGTCCAACCATTGCACTGCTGCCGAGGTCACCACGAAACCATGTCCCCAAAAGTCTGTTAAATCCCTCCAGTCCCCAAAAATCTGTTAAATCCCTCCAGGGATGGAGACTTTACCACTCCCCTGGGCAGCCTGTGCCAGTGCTGGATGATTCCAGTGGTGGAATTTCCCCCAATATTCCATCTAAACCTTCCTGGTGCAAGCTGAGCCCCCACCCAGCCCCGCTCTGCCCTGAGCAAGGCCCATTTCTGCCCCTCTGTCTCTGAGCAGGGTCCATTTCTGCCCCTCTCTTGTCCTTGGTGCAGGGCCCATTTCTGCCCCTCTCTCGTCCCTGAGCAGGGCCCATTTCTGTCTCTCTGGTGCAGGGCCCATTTCTGCCCCCTCTCTTGTTTCTGAGCAGGGCCCATTTCTGCCCCTCTCTTGTCTCTGGTGCAGGACCCATTTCTGCCCCTCTCTGAGCAGGGCCCATTTCTGCCCCTCTCTTGTCCCTGAGCAGGGCCCATTTCTGTCTCTCTCTGGTGCAGGGCCCATTTCTGCCCCTCTCTGAGCAGGGCCCATTTCTGCCCCTCTCTGAGCAGGGCCCATTTCTGCCCCTCTCTTGTCCCTGAGCAGGGCCCATTTCTGTCTCTCTCTGGTGCAGGGCCCATTTCTGCCCCTCTCTTGTCCCTGAGCAGGGCCCATTTCTGTCTCTCTCTGGTGCAGGGCCCATTTCTGCCCCTCTCTTGTCTCTGGTGCAGGTGCCTGAGGAAGGATCTGAGCCCAGTGCCAGTGGAAAGGAGGAGCTGGGCATCAGCACCTTGGTGTGACAACCCCAAAACCCCTCTGTGGGCTGTGCCATGGCCAGTGCCAGCTGGTTCTGGCAGCCTGAACCTCCCAGCAGGAGCCAGCCAAATGTTTTTGGGAGCAGCTGGGTGTCCACAGGCCTCTGCAGGGTGAAGAGGAGCTGCAGGATCCCTGTGTTTGCTCAGGGTGTCCAGGCTTGGCTCCGCCACATCCCCTCCCTGCTCCTTGCCTCAGTTTCCCCATCAGCTGCTTTCTGGAGGGAGGCAATGGCGAGAGGAGGGATGGCTGTGGTGGGGAGCGGGCCCAGCAGGCTGAGCAGAAAGCAGCAAAGACTTTGTACAGATATTTGTGTGCACGTAGCAATTAAAATATATGGAATTTTTTGTAGCTTTGTTGGATTTGCCCCTGAATTCTCATGGCACCTGCCCAGCTCTGCTGGCTGTTTCCTTCAGGTGTCATCCAGGGGGGAAGGCAAAGCCCCCCAGTTTGCCCTGCACCCCAAACACTGATGCCCCTTTCCATTCCTCTGGAACCCCCGGTTTGCCCTGCACCCCACAGAGGGGCTCCCACTCCCCTGGGAGCAGATTGGAACATTCTGGAACACTCTGGAACCCACAGAGAGCCCTGCAGCGACTGGAGCAGGGCCACAGCCCCACAGGGCTCCTAGAGGGGCCATGCTGGATGTGCTGGGGGTCCCCAGTGTGGGGGACACCTTGGGGTCCCTTCTCCCACGAGCCTGAGGTGGCTGCCAGACGCTTCCACACCTCCTGTGCCAGACTGGCACTCACCATGTGGGATTCCTGTGGGCACAGGTGTGCCCAGCTGCCAGTGCCACCATCCCTGAGGAGGGGACACAGCCCCACGGGGGACACCACAGAAAAGTTTGGGGGAAATGCTTTGCCACAGGTGGGACTCTCTTGTGCTGGTATCTGCTGCTGTTGAAGCACTCGGGTTTCTTTTAACTGACAGGACAAAAAGGAGGACAAAATTTCAAAATTTCAATTTCAAAATTTCAAAAGGAGGAAGAAAATTCATTAATTCAATGCATTAATGAAATTATTAATGAAAAGCATTTGTTTGCAGGTGGTCATAAAACGTCACTTTAAAACACAGCAGGAAGTCAAAACATCTTGCTTTGATATAAGTCAAACTGTCACTTTAAACCTTCCCCAGTTTCGTTGTCCCTTACAGAAAATGGTGAAATCAGCACATTAAAGCCTTGGTGTCACTGAAATTCCATGACGAAACGCAGGGAAGTGGGTCAGGCGTTCCTGCTGCCGCTGCAGGCCCTGAGGAAGGTCTGTGCAGGGACCAGAGCCCCACTCCTGGCTCAGGGGGCAGGGGAGGACATGTCCCTGTCCCCACATCCGTGTGACACGAGGAGGGAGATACGGGGTGCAGCAGGGCTGGTGCTCATTGCCCCTTGCCTGAGCTGCAGACCCCTGACCCCACATCCCAGTGCAGAACCCCGACCCCACATCCCCCCTGCAGATCCCTGACCCTGCAGACCCCAATCCCACATCCCTGTGAAAAACACTGACCCACATCCCCCTGTACCCTGACCCCACATCCCCTGCAGACCCCGCATCCCCCTGCAGACCCCTGACCCTGCAGACCCCAATCCCACATCCCCCCCCGTAGAACCCTGACCCTGCAGAACCACTGACCCCACATCCCTCTGCAGAACCCTGATCCCACATCCCCTGCAGACCCCAAATGCCCCTGCAGAACCCCGACCCCACATCCCAGTGCAGAACCCCAACCCCACATCCCCTGCAGACCCCACAACCCCCTGCACAACCCCAGTTCTGCATCCCCCTGCAGAACCCTGACCCCACATCCCCCTATGGAACCCTGACCCACATCCCCCTACAGACCCCAGCCCCACATCCCTCTGCAGAACCCTGACCCTGCAGAACTCCCAGCCCCACATCCCCCTGCAGACCCCAACCCCACATCCCTCTGCAGAACCCTGATCCCACATCCCCTGCAGACCACAAATGCCCCTGCAGAACCTCGACCCCACATCCCAGTGCAGAACCCCAACCCCACATCCCCCTATGGAACCCTGACCCACATCCCCCTGCAGACCCCAACCCCACATCCCCTGTTTATTTCACCCTGCAGACCCCTGACCCTCATCCCCCTGCAGAACCCCGGCCCCACATCCCAGTGCAGAACCCTGACCCCACACCCCCTACAGAAGCCCAATCCCACATCCCCCTGCAGAACCCTGACCCTGACCCCACATCCCCTGCAGACCCCTGACCCTGCCGACCCCAATCCCACACCCCCCTGCAGACCCCAACCCCACATCCCCTGTTTATTTCACCCTGCAGACCCCTGACCCACCTCACCCTTTTCCCCATCCCTCTCCTCCCCTTTCCCAGCCATCCCCCTTCTCCTTTTTTGATCTCCTCGCAGCGCATCTCAAAAGCAACCCCACTGCGCCGGCGAGCAAATCCGCTGCAGTGAGATCATTGCGAGACCCTCAGACGTCGGGGTCGGGTGTGAAATGGACCCTCCCTCCTCCTCCTCCTCCTCCTCCTCCTCCTCCTCGGCTGTTATGTTTTGTAATCGGATTAAGGGCAGCCCTGCGCCCTCCCCACGCCGCTCCGGCCGCTCTCCCCGCGCTTGTTTAAGCGAGCGCGGAGCTCTCCGTGCGCGGGGAGCCTGAAAGGTTTAGTCAGCGAACAAATTGCTTCTCTGTAGGGGCCGTTTTCTTCCCGAGTTGAACATAATGATGGCAGTTTGAGGAACAGATGGTGCAGCTAAGCACGGATAATCCCGACGGGCTCGGCGAGAGCAGCGCCGGCTCTGCCCGCAGCGCCCGCGGCCGGCCCGGGACCGGGGGGACCCCGGTGATCGCACCCGACCGAGCACAGGGAGCTCACCCCGTCCTCACACCTCTGCTGCCCCCGTTTGGGTGCCAGACTCCGCTCGTGCCTCAGTTTCCCCCGTGGGGAGCCTCTGCTCCGTCACTTTGCAAGGCAGGGCTCACCTCCGGATCGCAGGGACCTGGGGAGATGTGATGTGAGACAGAACAGCCTTCCCACAGCTGAGAACAGCTCCTTTCCCTCTCCTTTTCCTATTTTACCCTTCTCTCCAGCAGTATTGGAGATGTGGAAAGAGGTGAAGAAATTCCAGCAGCTCCTTTCCCTCTCCTTTTCTTATTTTACCCCTCTCTCCAGCAGTACTGGAGATGTGGAAAGAGGTGAAGAAATTCCAGCAGCTCATTTTCCTCTCCTTTTCCTGTTTTTGCCCCTTTCTCCAACAGTATTGGAGACGTGGGAAGAGCTGAAGAAATTCAAACAGCTCCTTTCCCTCTCATTTTCTTATTTTACCCCACTCTCCAGCAGTACTGGAGATGTGGAAAGAGGTGAAGAAATTCCAGCAGCTCATTTCCCTCTCCTTTTCCTATTTTGCCCCTCTTTCCAGCAGTACTGGAGATGTGGAAAGAGCTGAAGAAATTCCAGGGGTTGGGTGTGCAGTGTGCCCGTGTCGAGCTCAGGGATGCCGGGATCTGCTCACTAAATGAGTCTTTATTTAAAACTTTATTAAAACTTGATTAAAAACATCAGCGG